CCGCCCCCAGCCCTAAGTAACGGCCCGTGGCGAAAGCGCCTACTGGCCCCTAACCTAGCCCAATAGCATAGCAGAATAACCACAAGGGTCATGGATTCAGGAAACCACATTTTCAGAAAGAAGAAGCTGTCTGGGCCTCAGATAGAGCTTACATGGGGACCTCAAACTTGCAGCCCCCCAGGCCGAATCTACCATATAGCAAGAAATCTTTAATCTACATAGCTCTTTGCACCACACTCTCCAGTGCTCTCTACACTCAGGAGATCCATTCACTCTTTTATGTGACCTGTGTGGCCCCTGAAATCATTTGAGTTTGAGACCCCCACACACACACAAGGAGAGTAGTCAGTATTGTTCTCAAAGGCCCATTCATAAGAGCACATCCTATTTCATCCTTCCCACTGGAGCCCTAAAAAGGAGGAAGAGTGAACCCTGTTTTACAGAAGTTCAAGGGGAGGGGGCCTGCAGCCGCTCTGCTGGACCCAGATCTGCCTGGGCTTTTTGACTCCCCTGAGGAGCTACAGAATCAGGATTTTCAGGCTGGGGGAGGGCCAGAGCACGTATTGAGTTTGTGACAGCGAGGAAAACCTGGTAAGACACTTTTCCTCCTGAACTAGGATCCTGACCCCCACCTGCTACAGGCCTTCTCCTACCCTCTGCCCACCCCAAACCACCCTTAGAGAGTTATCTCACCTCAGCACCGAGAGGGAGGCAGCCTGGAGGCCTTCGGATTCATAGGAAAAGTAGTTTGGTGACTCAGAACCTGTGGGGCACAGGGGGGCACTTGGGACACCAGACTCAGAGCACAGGCCCAGTTGCCCCTGTCTGGAGTCAGTGCCAGGTCCCACAGTCCCCAGCCACATCAGGGAACCCCAGCAGGAGTATCAAGCTGTGTGACCCTATAGCCCTTCAGGCTCTGTCAGCCCGCCCCCCCCCCCCCGCCCCACCTCCACACACACACACCTCAGTGACAGCTGAGTCTGACAATTTCTCAGCCTCCATCTCCCCACCTTTCCATGTTTCCTTATGGGGAGGTCTGTCCTCATTGACCCAGCCTGGGTATTCCTGAGAATTCTCTCTCACCTAAAGCTGAACCCACAAATATTGATCAGCCCAGCTGGGCCAGCCAGCCCCTCCCTGTGTCCCAGCCATGACCTTGGAGTCACAAGAGAGAGAGATTCTGTGGCCAACTGAGCCAGCATCCAGCCACAATGGCCAGGCACTCCTGTGTTCTTTGGCCCTCTGGGCCCTCAGCCAGGGGTAGAGCCATGCCTGACAGCTACTCTGAGGGCCCAGCTGTGTTGTGTTAGAGAACAGCCTCCCCCCTGTAAAATGTCAGCGCCAGGAGGTCAGAGGCCTCCCCTGTCTGGATCGCTGGATCTCTGGCCCTGCTCCAGCCCAGTGCTGAGCGTGCAGTTAGATCTAGGCATGTATTTGCCTAGTGAACAGGAAAACCCGGCTGGCCCTGTGCCTAGCCTGCTGTGGCTGTTCTCTCTGATCTTGTCTTCCCATTGTCTTTCCTGCACTGCCTGGCTCTTCCCTCAGCCACTGTCTCCCCTTCTGTCTGTCTTTCTGCCTCAAGATCTCTGACCATCTCCCATCTGCCTTCCGGCTGCGCCACAACCGGCCCCCACTGCCGTCCTCGCTGACTTTCGAGAAATCCCTGTGTCACCTTACTCCCGATTCACAGCCCTCCAGTGGCTCCACCCCACGTTTGGAATAAATTTAAGTTCCTTGGGCCCTAGGAGCCCCCTCCGCTGCTCCGACTTCACCCTCTGCCCCTCTCCCCCGGCTCACTCTGCTCCAGCTGCACTGGCCCCAGCTTTCGTATCCACCCCAAGCATAGTCCACCTCAAAGCCTTTGCACTCGCTGTGCCCACTGCAAGGAGCAGCTTTCCCTCGCTTCATTCAGGTCCCTCCTCAAGTCCCCTCTTGGAGACTATCTAAGAAGTCTGACCCCGAGTCATCACTCTATGTCCCCTGCACCTACTGTCGTTTCAAAGCATTAGTCATTACTTGACATTATATGACATGTGCCTAGACCAGTGCCTGGGACATAGTAGGTGCTCACTAAATGTTTGCTGACCGACTCTCTGCCCTTCACTCCTGCCCACCCCCAGTCCTTATTCTGGGCGGTGGATGACACAGAGGCATCTCTCCACAGTTCACACCTGCCATCAGGCCATTCCTGCAGACCATCTCCATCGGGCTGGTGTCCTTCGGGGAGCACTACAAACGCAACGAAACTGGACTCAGTGAGTCCCGGCCAGCCGGGCCCTGCCCTTGCTCCGCCCCTCCTGTCCCTCCTCCCTGACCCTGACCCCACGGCCTGACCCACCCAGGTTCCCTGACACTCTCCCGACCCCCAGGTGTGACCGCCAGCTCCCTCTTCACCGGCGGCCGCTTTGCCATCGACCCAGAGCTGCGTGGGGCCGAGTTTGAGCGAATCACTCAGAACCTGGATGTACACTTCTGGAAAGCCTTCTGGAATATCACTGAGATCGAGGTGCTATCAGTGAGCATGGGGCCCAACGAGGGACCCAACCTGTCACAAGACGGGGATACCGAAGCCCAGAGACTTAGCCTAGGCCACATCGGGTCTCTGCAGGGCTCCAGGCCAAGGGATGGCACATAAGGGATAAACTGGGGGTCTGAGGGGAGGTGTGAGGGGGACCCCTGCAAGCAGCCCCTCCCCAGTGCCCCTTCCATTCCCTCCCACCAGTCTCTAGCAAACATGGCATCAGTCACCGTGAGGGTAAGCCGCCTGCTCAGCCTGCCACCGGAGGCCTTTGAAATGCCGCTGACCGCTGATCCCAAGCTCACAGTCACCATCTCACCCCCCTTGGCCCACACGGGCCCCGGGCCAGTCCTCGTCAGGCTCATCTCCTATGATCTGCGTGAAGGACAGGTAGGGCCCCTGCCTCCAGGAACAGGTACAGTGAGGGGCATGGGCAGCACCCACCCCCATTGAGATGCCTGTCCTCTGCCTCACCATTGACACCTGCCCCCTTTCTGTCCCTCTGAGCATATCCCCTTGGTGGAGAGGGAGGCCCAGGCAGCCCCCCACCACAAGCATCACCTGCCTCTTTGCCTCCTCCTCCAGGACAGTGAGCAGCTCAACAGCCTGGTGAAGTCCGAGGGTTCAAGGAGCCTGGAACTGTGGCCTCGGCCGCAGCAGGCACCCCGCTCACCATCCTTGGTCGTGCATATCCACGGTGGCGGCTTCGTGGCCCAGACCTCCAAATCCCATGAGCCCTACCTCAAGAGCTGGGCCCAGGAGCTGGGCGTCCCCATCCTCTCCATCGACTACTCCCTGGCCCCCGAGGCCCCCTTCCCCCGAGCACTGGAGGAGTGCTTCTATGCCTACTGCTGGGCTGTCAAGCACTGCACCCTCCTCGGTGAGCCGAGCTCCACTGTCGCCCACTCCCGGTCCTGCCCCGGCCTGCTTCAGCCCTCAGCCGACACTGCAGGGGAGCCATGTCATGGCTAAAGCCTCAGTCTCACACCTCCTGCCTCCCCTGCCATCTCCCCCCACCCAGCCCTCCGCCACCTGTCCGCCCCCTGCCGCCCATTCCTGCCTCTCTCCCCATCGCCCCACTGCTCACCCAACCTTCCATCAACCACCTCCTCCTCTGCTTCCTGCTCCCCTACTCCAGTCCTGACGCCCTATCCCCCCACCACCCGCACAGTAGTCTCCCCTGACCTTCTCTTTCCTCCTCCTGTTCCTCTACCCCCTGATGTCGCCAGCCCACTTTTCCAGCTCCTCTGACCTCCCACTTTCAATATCCTGGGAAGCAGAGAGCGGGGTGCGACTGCGCCCCACAGCACAGGGCCCGTGGCCCCCTGTCAGCCTGAACGCTGGCTCCCATCTCCTGGCCTAGGATGCCCCTCCCCCCTCAGCATCTCCTCCACCCCCACCCCTGCCCATACTCCTTGCTGCCATCTTCCATCCTCTCAAGCTTCCCCAGTTTCCAGATCTCTGGGTCTCTCCAGGTCCTAAGTCAGCCTGATCCTCTGATCACTGTCCTCCAAATCCCTGCCTCAGTTTACCAGTCTCTAAACTGGCTAGACCTTGGGCTTGGGGCCCCCACGCCCCACGCGAGAGCCCAGCAATCCTCTAGCCCAGAGCTTGAGATCCCCGCTGCCAGGCGTAACGAAGCCTCCCTCCAAACCAGGTTCAACGGGCGAGCGGATATGCCTTGCGGGAGACAGTGCAGGTGGGAACCTCTGCTTCACCGTCTCCCTTCGGGCAGCAGCCTATGGGGTGCGGGTGCCAGACGGCATCATGGCAGCCTACCCAGCCACGATGCTGCAGTTCGCCGCCTCTCCCTCCCGCCTTCTGAGCCTCATGGACCCGCTGCTGCCCCTCAGCGTGCTCTCCAAGTGTGTCAGTGCCTATGCTGGTAAGGCCCACACCCACAGAGCTGCGACCTGGGGGTCCAGGATGCCTGGGGCCTGCAGGGACAGGGGCTAGAGCCCAGTCTCCTGGGGCAGAGGAGAGCAATCTCAGACTCCTACTGACGCAACTAGCTCTTCTTAGGTCCCTGGGAGCATAGACGCTTGAAGCTCTGGGTGTTGAGACTGGGCCCAGAAAGAGAAGAGACCAACTCAGCTCCCTTCATACACTCCACAGGTGGGGAGACAGAGGACCACTCCAACTCAGACCAGAAAGCACTGGGCATGATGGGGCTAGTGCGGCGGGACACAGCCCTGCTTCTCCGGGACCTCCGCCTGGGTGCCTCCTCGTGGCTCAACTCTTTCCTGGAGCTGAGTGGGCACAAGTCTCACCCAAAATCGGTGCCCGTAGCAGGTGAGTCTTCCCTCACACACCCTCCCCAAGAGGGACAGCCTGGCACACCACAAGTCCTGGGGGAGGATAGGCGCCATGCTCTGAGGCACTTGGGGAAGCAGAAACTGCCCCGTGTCCGTCCCTCTTCACTACCATAAAGCCTTGATCTTCCTGGAAATTCAAGGACTTCTGGTCCCCCTGGTCATCTCAGTCCCAGGAACTATAGGATTTAGCTTTTCAAACAGCCTTTCCCAGAAGAGCACCCTGGGAAATGACTCAGAAGGGCTGCCCCATGTCCTGGTTTTCAGTCCGGAGAAGGCCACTGGAACCTCCCGGGCCCTCAGGAGGGAGTCCAGGCCTCTTAGATTCTTTCCAGATTTTTAAGAGGCACGTGGGGCAACAGCCGGCTGCAGGAGCTGACCTAGGAGGCCGGGGTGGGGCGATCAGCAGACCGGACAGACCTTGGGAAGTGGAGGAGATTGCCAGCCTTGGGTGGGTGGCAGGACCCTCAGGCAGCCGAAAATCACTTCCACCCAGGGACCCATTTTTTAACATTTTAAGGATTTTAAAGCACAACCAACTCGACTTATTTTCTATCCCTAGCAAATCAACAGCATTTTCTGAGTAGTAGGAATTGCATGTTCAAAAGCAGGTGAATATTCAGAAAATTATTATTCAGAAAATTATTCCAATTGGATGTGTTTTATTTTAAATTAAGTTTTTAATTTTAGGATATTCAAGTGGATGCAAATAAATATACACAGAAACAAAAGGGATTTGAATTTTAGGCACACGGACCATTGAGCACCGCGTTTTCCTTGTGGAGAAAGGTGACAGGTGCAGCCCCTAGAGCCTCCTGCACACACACACATCAGTCTAGCTCCCTACTGTACCAGCTACTTACCGGTTGCTGGGTGACGTGCACAAGTAATGGTATGTGTGGGCTTTGCTTTGCTCCTCTGTGAAATGGGTACAGTAAGAGTACCTGCCTCATCAGATTGTACTAAGGATTACATACACCCAGCACCATACTGGGCTCACAGTAGGTGCTCTTAGAAGAGGCCACCACCCCTGACTGGCTGTGCCCTCTGACTCTAGTCAACAGCTCTCTTCCAGTGACCCCTCATATCTTGCATTTTGCCTTCATGGATTTATAAAGACAAGTGGAAAAAAAACGGAAAAATATAGGGTCCTGGCCCTAGTGGTAAGCATCGTGGGTCTGATCAAATTAATGGAGCTGAGGCCAACGTGGGCATAGCAAGAGGGCCAGAAGCACATCTGTAGCATCATTTGGGTACTTGCTTGCCTGGTCACTCAATGGGAAGGAATAAAACTGAAGAACAGAAAGGAAGTTTTGGGAGCAGATCTATGTTGCTACAGGTGTGGGATCCCTGGGAATCTTAATATATCCCTAGCAAGACTCTTTAGCTCCCTTTCAAGCCATGTGGGCCTACTCCCTACTCCACTGTAATCCATTCACACCCTCTGTGTCAAGTGGCCATAAAAAACTGGCTGGTCCTCTTGCTGGACCAGGAGGCAGAGGCATCTGGAACAGGGTGCCAGGCCTAGTAATAAAATATTAATAGTGATCATTATGACTTCCCGGAGGGTAGCAGTACCTAATCCCGTATCTTATCCTGCTGAGTCCTCAGCACCATCTATGAAATAAGGACTATTTTTATCCCCTTTGTAAAGAAGAGGAAACTGAGACTCCCAGAGGTAGAGTGACTTGCTCTTAACCTCAGTCACCCCCCCCACACACACACACACCCCTTCCCTTAGGACACAGCTCCACTGCCAGGATCATGTGACTCCTTGGAGTGGCAGCCTGGGCACCTGGAGCTCCCCACCCATGCCCAAGGAGGATGTCTGGTGGAACACTCCAGGCCTCCACAGCCCTAGAATGCAACTTCTCCTCCAGAGGCCTCTGTCCTTCCATGACCTTCCCTGCCAGCCACCCACACACCCAGCCAACACAGCCAGGCTGACCTGCCCCAGCCGGCCCCTGATCCTGCCCTTCTCACAGAGCCAGTGCGTCGCAGTGTGTCTGAAGCAGCGCTGGCCCAGCCTGAGGACCCAGTGGGCACAGACCCCCTCAAGAGCCTGACAGTACATGACCTGAGCCTCAGGGGCAACTCTGAGACATCAGACACCCCCGAGCTGTCACTGTCGGATGAGACACTTGGCCCCTCCACGCCCTCAGACGTCAACTTCTTACTCGGGCCTGAGGATGCACCAGAAAAAGTTGGGTCCCAAGAGGAGTTGAGCACCAAGGACAGAAGCAGCAGCTGTCTCAGTGCTACCTTCCCTGAGGACTTCCTCCCCAGGCGCTCCAGCCAGGGCCCCACGCAGATCCCCCTCTACTCTTCGCCCATCGCCAAGAACCCCTTCATGTCACCGCTGCTGGCACCTGACAGCATGCTGCAGACACTGCCGCCAGTACACATCGTGGTGAGCACCGGATGGGCACGAAGCGCCTATGAGAAGGGGGGATGGGGGGACTGCAGGTGCACCTGAGGAAGAGCTCAAGGAAGTGCGGGAGGTCCGTAGCCTGGCCCGAGGGGAGAGGTGTGCCACCAGGAGGGATTGCCTGGAACGGGAGGACAGAAAGTAGTTGGGAGGACGGAAGGGAGTCGGCGCTGCCATTTCCTTTTGCAGTCTTGAGCGCCATGGGGCCGTGGGCCAGCCACGGGACTTGAAGAGTCAGGGAAAGGGAAGAGATGGCGGGCCTCCGGGGGAAGACAGGGAGCCCAGTTAAACTCATTCTGCAACTCACCCCTCATGTCTCCCTCCTCTGTCCATCCCCCTGTCCACGTGTCCCCGCCTTCGGTTCATCCACCCGTCCCTGTGCCCCACTCCCGCCATCCCACAGGCGTGCGCGTTGGACCCCATACTGGACGACTCGGTCATGTTCGCAAGGCGGCTGCGCAGCCTGGGCAAGCCGGTGACGCTGCGCGTGGTGGAGGACCTGCCGCACGGCTTCCTGAGCCTGGCGTCCCTGTGTCGGGAAACGCGGCAGGCAGCCGCGCTGTGCGTGGAACGCATCCGCCAAATCCTCACTCCGCCGGGCCCCGCTGCGCCGCCGGTCTGAGCCGCCACCCCGAGCCCGGCCGCGGGCGGCTGCGGGGGGCGACACTAAAGGCCTCTGGTTCCCATTTGCGTCAGCCTCCGTGGTGAATGCGCTCTGGGAAGGATGGCGGGGACCGCCGCAAGGGGTTCCTGGCCCCTCTGACCCCTCACTCGGCCCGGCGGGTGGGGGTGGGATGTGCCTTAAAATCGGGGGACAAGGGGACGGGGAGGTGAGACCTTGGCCTGGGGGGAAGGGGCTCACGCAAACCGCTCTCCGAGACAGCTGGACCTGCACTTCATCACTGCCTTCTACTGCTGCTGCGACCGACGCAGCGGTGGGGCCTGGCCCCCACTTGCAGGTCGGTTTGTTTTTGTTCCTCTGTAAATAAAAGTATTTAATTGGTTTGGCCTCTCGCTAATAGGTGTGTCGCCCACCAGGGGGCAGCATCGGACTCTGCTTCTGGGAACCAAGAAACTTGGGGCTGGAGAATATAGAAAGCGGGGTGCCCAACTTCCAGGTCCTGAGGAAAGAGGGGCCTGTGAGCCTGGTTTCTTGGGTGTGGAGGGCACTGGACTCTCCTATAACACAGACCTACTGCCCGCTGACTTAATCCAGGGAGAGCCCCAGGGGAATCTAGGTTCTCAGCTACTTCTCCTTACCAACCCAACCCCAGCACCTCCCCCCACCGCCCCAGAGAACTGGAGCAAAGCTAACAGGACACCAGAAACAAACTGGTCACCCTAAATTCTGGAAGCCCCATGTCTGCCCAGCTGTGACAGTCACTAAGTCCCTCGACCAAAATTCTGTGGCCTCGCCCTTTTGGAGGCCCTGGATTTGGAACAGAGATGGTTTCTAGCCTGCCCTCAAAGGACTCAGGGAGGATGGAGAGAGAGATGCAGACACAGGCTGTCACAGCCCCAACGGGTTTCATCTGTGGTAGTCAGGGAAGGCTTCACAGAGGAGGTACTTGATCTTAAAGGATGAGCACAAGTTTGCTAAGCAAAAGAAATATGCAAGGTGGTGGGTGAGAGCCAATGGAAGCTGACTGCAAGGCTTGGCCAGAAGGTTAGGTGCAAAGTGGGGAATGGCCCGAGGGGCCTGGAATGGCCACCAGGAGCAGACACTGCAGAGCCTGGAGTGCAATCTGGCCTATAACTGGAGGGCAGTGGGAGCCACAGAAAGGCTTGGAGCAGGATCCAAGCGACGGGATCAGCACAGGCACTGAAGAGCTTGCTGGGACACTGAGGGATAGGCTGAAAAGAGCAAGACTGGAGCCCTGGAGGCAAAGGAGGAGGCCGAGGGTAGAGAAGACAAGGCCTGAGCAGGGGAAGAGGCCATGAGGGTCGGGATGGGAGTACGGGCAGAGCAGATCCCAGAGCCATAACTGAGGTTAGATGACTAGGACTTATTGAGGGTGAAGCGGAGGTAACAGGAGAGCAAGGGGACTATGACGACACTCAGGTCTGGCAGGGAAATAGGCAGACAGTGAGGCTGTCTCTACTGGGAGGAGGCTCAGGTCTGTAGGAGGGGGACTGGGGATGTTGAGGGTTGGTTTGCACAGGGAAAGATCAAAAGGTCTTAGACAATCCAGGGAGACATCTAGGAGGCAGGACAATGAGCTGGGTGCTCACTTCTGACTGGAGTTGAGGGTCTAGAACCTTTCCACGAAGGAAGGGGCAAGTGAGATGAGCAGAGGGCTGGGACACAGAAAGCCCCAAGGACCATGGCCCCCAGTAAAGGGCAGGTAGTGAAAAGTAGAGGGTTTTAAGGAGCAGCTGGAGAGGGAGGAAGCTAACTAGGAAAGAAGAGGATATAAATCAAAGGAAATGTCCAGCGGGAGGGAGAGATCTGTGTCAGATGAGGATCCAAATGTTATCCTCAGGCCTCAGCAATGAGTGGGTGGGTCCTTGATGACCTTATTATTCAGAGCTGCTGCAGGGCCGAGGGAGGTGGGCAGCCAGATGTGGAGGGTTGAGGAGGAAGTGGAAGATAAGAGACTGAGCCAGTGGGTACCACAAGACTAGCTGTAAAAGGGATAACAAGTAATTCAAGGGAACTCGATGCAGGGTGTCGTGTCTGTGCGTCTGTGTGTCTGTGTCTGTGTGTCTGTGTGTGTGTGTGTGTTTATAGATGATGAAACGTTTTAATGCCAGGGAAGGAAGGGAGGGGGGGAAAGAAGGAAAATGCAGAAGCACAAGAAAGCAGTTTCCCGAGGGGGTGGGTAGAGGGAGACCTTTACTCAGAGGCCTTCATTCACCCAACAACTGACTTCTGAGTCAGGGCCTGTGATAGGGGAGGGAGCCCATAACCTAGAACCCTCCCAGAAGGTCCAGACCCACTGGCCTGAGTCATAGTTCTCCTTGTCCATCTCATAGGACCCCTTGCTCATCTCTGCCCAAACAGTCACCATCACCAACTTGCTCCTCTTTCCTGTCCCCATCCCAGGGATGGCTTCTTCATCCCCTAGTTCCCCAGGCCAGAGCACTGGGTCCTGTTCTGAACACCACACCCCACCCGCCCCCATAGCTCATCAAGCCCCATATTCTGTTCTTTCTACCTCCTGAATTTTTGCCTTATCCCCTTGGCCTTGGACCCAATCCAGGCTCCTTCCTCTCCTGCCCGGGCCCAGGGCCCAAGCCATCTTCTGGGCTACTGGCTTCCAGACTCATTCCTCCAGTTCTGGCTCCAGCTCTGATCCGACCGCCCCTGCTCTAAACCTTTCCATGGCTCCCTACCACCACCACCCCCAGAACAAAGTTCAAGCTCCGCAGCCTGGCCCCTGCCCACCTCTTCTCCCTCTTCCAGCCTGACGAGCCGCCTGCCGGGGCACCCACAACCAGTAATACTCCTGCACCTCCCTGTCTTTGCTCATGCCAAAACGCCCTCCCAGCACGCTCTCCTCCACCCTTGCTTGGCACCTCCTACCTGCTACCCCAAGATTTAGCTCCAATAGCCCTCCCTCTGGAAACTCTTTCCTGAGCCGCCAAACCCCAAAAAGGACTCTCCTGGACTCCCCCGCCTCTGCACACCCCTGCCCATCGATGTGTGGGTCTGCCCACCCATTTGACTTCTTGAGGGCTGGGCCCAAGCCTGACTCATCTCGGTTGCCACCATCGCCCAGGACGACGCTGGGCACACCGGAAGCCTCGGGAAATATTTAAATAATGGGTTGGCGAAGGTGTGAATGAGCGAGTGTGAGTGGTTATATGAGGAAATCAGTGAGTGAGGGAATTAATGAGGATAGGGAAGACTGAACGGACAGGTGGGCAGGGCAGGTAGGTGCAGACAAGAATCAGGTTTAGGGTGGGAGGAATGAATGGACAGATGAATGTCTGAGACTGAATCATGGATTCAGTTTCTCCAGCAAAGCAAGATAGACGGTCGCCCCGGCTAAGCTCCCCGCTCCGCCTCAAGCCTCCCCAAGTTCACCATTTCCCGTCCGAGCTACGTCTAGAATCCCAACCTTGGGCGTGCTGGAAACCGCTTACCCGGCGGGACCCGCAGAGCCTGTTCCCTCAATAGCCGGCTCCAGCCTCTGCAGAACCCAGCAGGATTCCCACCCTCCCGGTGCCCTGCCTATTGGCAGACTGGCGGCGGGACGGGCGGAGACTGGCCTCTTCGAGAGCCTATCGCTGTCCGACTTAGGCCGGGTCCCGCCTACCAGGGAACGCTCCCTGAGTGGCCCAGAGCGGTAGGAGGCGGGGTGTCTATTGGTTGGATGATAGTGACTGGCGTCATGGTTAGCTTATCACAGCTAGACTTTGGAGGAGCAATCAAGTGTCAGACCCGCCTCTGGAAAGATAGAACTAGGAGATGGGTGAGGGCGTCCTCGACCACAGAAGAGCCTTGAATGGGGGTTCTGGTTGCACGTACCCGGGCTGTTCGCTGGCTTGATCCTTGGGTCCTGAGACAGGATGGGAACTTGAGAGTTCTGACTTCTTGGTCTTGAGGGAGGAGGCTGGGGGCCCGAGGGAGAAGGCGACTGAGGACCCGTGGGAGGAGGGCGTGGGGGCCTAGACTTCTGGGTCCGAGGGAGGAGGGAGCTGGGAACCTGAAAGGTCAGGGTCCAGGGATGGGGACTTTTGTATCCTAAGAGTCACTGGCCTACCCTAACCATGACAGTACTGAGGTTCAGGATTTTATGTGGCTATTTATGGAATTGGAGCCAGGCCTTGTCCCCAGGCAAGAGTTCTGGGTCCTGAGGTGGGGCTTGGACTAGCGATGAAGAGGAAGAAACTTAGGAGAAGCTCTGGCCTCAATGTGCCCTTTCCTCACCCCTAAAAGAGAAGCCGGGGGCCGAGTGCTCTCTGCAAAAGGAACCCGGAGTGGGAGGAGATTTGAAACTCACGGGGAGACCAAGAGAAAAACAGATACCAATGGAGAGATTAAAATATTGAAAACAATAATAATAATAGCGCTTTCTTGTATGGAATTTATTGTGGCCCAGGTTCTGTGCTAAGCATTTTACATAATTATCTCATGTCTTCCTCATAACAGCTCTAAGAGATTGGATGATGATGATGATTATTATTATAACCTCCATTTTACAAGTGAAGAAATTGACGCCCAGGGAAAAAAAAAAAAAGAGAATCAATGTAAAGAGACAGGAGAGGCGTGAAAGACAGATGGAGATAAACAAAGAGATAAAGACAGGCCCAAAGAAAAGAAAAGGTAGACAAGGGAAAAAAGATTGTGGCTGAGAGCCAGGACTCCTGGGGGTGGGGGGTGTGTTCTGGGAACCAGGACTCCTGGGTTATGGGGAAGGAAGGACTAAGGATGGGGACTTCTGGGTATTTCCTACCCTGACACCCACATACCATGCTGTCCAGGCCTTCTTGCTCTGGGCGTCGAGCCTGGTTGGGGTCAAAAATAATGATTAGGAGGGAGCAGGTATGTCATTATCCTATTAGAAGATGATAAGAAAATGATTCATGGGGGTGCCCCAAGCCAGGGAGGGGCCTTTCCCTCATGGTCTTCGTTCTTTGATCTGGACAGATCGGACCTCAGGGAGGACCAGAGAGGGCCAGGGCCCTCTCTGTCCCTATCGCTGGGTCTCCATCACTCAGAACTGTCACTGAGCCCCTTGTGGAGACAGGTGGGCCACCCTGGAGCAGGAACAGCTTTGCTGATGGCTCTTCACTCTCTGAGTCTCTTTACTTTTCCCCGCACCTTGAACCAATGCCTGTCAGAAGTCCTGGCTCATCGCAGGGGCTCATGCAATGCTAATGGAGTGGAGGGACAAACATCCACGTCTCTCTGTGCAGCTCCTCTGTCCCCATCCTACCATCTTTCGTGTCCCCACCACATTTCCTTTCTCAGCCTCTCCCTGGCCTCGCCCATCTCCTCCCACCTTCCCTTTCGCCCCGGTGTTATTCCCGAAGCCTCCAGGCCCACCATTCCCATTGGGGGGAACTGAGGCTCAGAGTCACCCTTCCAGAGCCACTCGTGTGACATGTAAAGGAGTGGCTGAGAAAGGGGTTCTCCAGGCCCCAGATATGGATACACGCCCAGCACCTCAGAGTCGGAAATGCAAGATTACTCCAAACACGTGCCCTCACAACACATCCCTGGGGTGCTATTGCATTTACACCCACACAATCAGAGAATCACACGCAGCACACGCAACCACCTACAAACACAAACATAGGCACACAATCACGGAATCACTGCACTGACCACACACACACACAGAAATATCCTATTCCACATACAAAACAGACAACCCCTGCAGGCAGTGAAATACCCAGCCACTGACAGGCATTCATCCAATCCCTACTAGAACAATGAACAGACTTGATTTCATTTACTATTGTATCCCCAGCAACTAGAACAGATCAGTGTCACCATCATTATCAACATAAACGGAAACTGCTTCCTACGTGCCAGGCGCTTTACGTGAATTAACTCATTTAATCCTCTCAACAACTCTATTTACAACAATCCATTTTGCAGATGCAAAACTTGAGGTCTAGAGAAGTTTAGTGATTTGCCCAAGTTTTCACAGCCAGTTAAGAGACCATCAGGATTAGAACTCAGGTTTTCTAGCTCTGGAGTCCATCACACAAGGCTACCACTCAATAAATAATTCCTGCCTTAATCCAGTCAGAATTACAGAAACAACCACGGAAACTACACCCAAACTCGGGGACACAGTGGGAAGACTCACAGGAGGGCAATAGAAACACACAAATAAAAAAAAACCCTTCACACGTCACACCCCAGAACACAGGAACATGAAAAGTGACACACATCGTGACAATCTCCATACAGACACACAGCACCCAGAGAGGCGCATACCACACAGAGACATTACACACCCAAAACCAGACACAGGGGCCCACCCAGAGCTCCCTGTTCCCCTCCCAGCCCCGCTGGGCTGGCCTTTGAGGAAGCAGCAAGCTTAGGATGGCAAGGGGGGCCACCTCACTTGTCTGCTCAGCCTTACCGGTTCCACCAGGGTCATGGATGGCACCACCTGCCTTGTGAAACCCACATTGGGAAATTGGACCCAGACCTGGCCTGGACTCCTGGGTTCTAGGGAGAAAGGGGCTGGGATCCTGGGTTCCAGGGTCTTAGGGAAGAGGGGCTGGCGGCCCAGATTCCTCGGTCCTGGGGGAAGAGAGGGCGGGAGGCCTGGACCCTGGGGTTCTCCGTAGGGAGGCCTGGGCTTCCGAAATCCTGGGTTCTGGGAAAAGGCCAGGATTTGGATTCCTCTGTCTTTGAAGGTAAGGTTCTAGATTTAGCAAATGAACAAACAAACTAAAAAACAGAATTCCCAGTCAGATTTGAATTTCACATAAACAACAAAAACTTTATTAGATAAGTATATCCCAAATATTACGTGGGATATACTTATACTAAAAAAAATAAAGTATTTGTTGTTTATCTGAAATTTGAATATAACTAGGTGTCCTGTATTTTATCTGGCAACCCTATTTGAGGGGGGAGAAGGCCAGATACCTGGAGACTCTGCCATGGTCACTCCTCAGCCCCCAGGCCTCTGCTCTTCCTGCCCTCCGCCCGCTGCCTCACCCCTAAGCCGGCCACCTCACAGCTTCCCCAGTCCCAATTTCCTCATCCACACGAGTTGCTGTATCTAATTGCAGCCCCCAGGCTGTGTCAGAGTAGGAAGAGGAAACTGAAGGACAACTCAGGCTGTCATACTGGGAGCCCTAGGGTCCTCAGAGGTGACTGACCTTGAGTCACCTGCAGCCCATGGTCTGGACAGCTGGGGGATGGGGCCAGGTGGCCGTCTCTACGGGCAGGCCTGGAGATGGGCAGGCCTGGAGAGGAGCTGAGACAGGGGGCAGAGACCCCAGAAGAAGGGGAAGAAACACAGAGCTTGGGAGGAGAGAGACTCAGAGATGGGAGACAGAGACCCAGAGAAATTTGGGAACAGGCAGAGACAAGGAAAGGAAGAGAGGAGAGACCAGAGCTGGAGAGACAAAGATGCAGAGGTGGGGGGACAGGGACACTAGAACAGAAGGGAAGAGAAGATGTTCCACAGATATTCAGGTTCCCGGACCAAGTGATGGACACACACAGGCAAGACCCTGAGGGCTGCCCACGGATCCGGGGATAAGGGCAATAAGTGGTACCAACTGGGCGGTACCAGGAGACCACGGCTTGGGACCTGGTGTGTTGGCCCAGGGAGTGCTGGGAAAGCAGTGGATCCCAGGCCAACAGGGTGATCCATCTCCCATCACCCCATCCCTACCCATGTCTGGTGGGGTGACGACAACACCTTCTCTGCAGGTGACACCCCAATTTTCCAGTGCCTCCTACATTTTTGGGGTGACACCCGTACGGAGAACCCCACCCGGCTCTAATGCTGCTTCTCTCACTGAGTCACCTCCAACCTGGCAAGGCCTGTTGAGGGGAGAAGGTGACTCAGACATCAAGGCCCCCAGCTCTTTCAACCCTCAGGAAGTCAACAGGTCTGGGATCCCAGGACCCCTACCTGACTCAGGAATGCAGCCCAAACCCAAGAATCTAGACCCCAGCCCCTTTCTCCCTCAGACTCAGGGATCTGAGTCCTCTCTCCCTCCTCTGTGAGGGACCAGAGATCAGGCCCTTGGCCTCTTCCTCTCTCAGACCCAGGAGTCCATGTCCCTAGTCCTCTGCTCTGTTACGACCCAGGAGGCCCAGGCCACAGCCACCTCCTTCAGGAACCAAGTTTCTCAATTCCTAGCCTCCTCCCTTCCCAATTTAGAGGTGTGACAAGGTGTGTTTATTTACTTTGGTTCCAGCATGAGTAACCCCAAAACACACTGTCCCCCCCGCCATGTGCCTCATGGTTCCTAATGGGAGGACAATACCTCCATCCCAGGAAAGTGGAGACCTCACTAAGGATGGTGGGGAGCCCCTCACAGGAAGTCCACACTGCACTCTCCCCCTCACTGCGGGCTTTCCTCTCCCCCTTTCCCTTCGGTCCTCAGAATCTGTCCCCCGCTTCTCACCATTGCTCCCCAGATCTTTGTGTCTCTGTCGAGGTATCTATTCCTCCGTTCCTATCTTCTCTTCCCCTCCCTCCATCTCTCAGGATCTCCTTAGCTCTCCCTCTCCGGTCTCGACCACCCTTTCTGTCTCTGTGTCCCCCATTCCTTCCCCATCTCTCTCTCTCTCTCTCTCTCCCTCTTTCCGGTCTCTGTGCTTTGACCCAGCTTCGTCCCTCGCATCTCCCCTCCACCTTCCCTCCTCAGCTCTCTGCCCACTCCCCTACCCTCACTTCTAGCTCCTCGTCCTGACCCGCTCCCTCACGATTTTTCTGGGTCCGTTGAGGCACTGCAGAAGGGGGACGTGGAGGGATGGAGGATGGAGAGGGAGGGAGGGAGGGGAAGTTCCGGTGGGGGGAAAGAGGTTTGGCCTGACCGGCTGGGCTCCCTGGGCACCTCTGTCATAGCCCCACCCAGGGACCTGTGGCCGCCCAAATATAAACAGCTCCTGGCCCAAGATTGAGAACTCAGTGCCCGTGTCACCCACACCTCTGTCTCCATCATCTCCGTCGCCATCCTGCAGGTAGGAGCACCTCCTCCCAAGCCCTCTGCTCTGAGGTCAGTGCCTCTGCTCCTTCTCCCTGTCTCTCTCTCCACTCGCATCTCTTTGTCTCCCTGCAGATCTCTGACTGTCTCTCTGTCTTTCTCAAGGCTCTACCTCCTTCTTACTCTGGGTGGTGCTGGGCTGAATTCAGAAATCCTGGGGCCCAGCACCCCCTCTACTAACTCCCTTGGCCTGGGCCATCAGATGTGGGGCATTTCACTTCTCAGCCTCGGTGTTCCAGCTGTGAAATGAGCCTGCAGAGAAGTCAAAGCGCTGGGCTGGTGTGAGCGTTACTGGTGGCATCTCTAAAGGCACCTGGCTCTGATGTCTTTCTCCCATTGTCTCTGACTCTGCCTGTCTCTGTCTCTTGGTCTCTCCAGCTCTGCCTCTGGAATGAGGAGGGTCCTCTGGGGTCTGTCGGGCAGCTGTATAGAGATGGGCGAGTTTCTCGCCCCCACACCATACATCCCTATGCCATGTCTCTCCTGGAGGCAGGCTGACTTGGCCTCTCTCTCCCCAGCATCCTTCCCCCTGAGAACCCAGCCCCCAGTGCCCCTGCCCCTTGTCCTCCCCTCCCCCCGGTATCCAGTGTCCCTTGGACAGACTCCACCGCCGTCACCGCTGCCACCTTTGCCGTCCCCATCGCGACCTCCTCAGGGGCCAACAAGATGCAGTTTGAGATGCACGACAACGTGAAAGGCAAAGGTGGGATCGCTGGATGGACCGGCAACCCTTCCAGTCCCCGGAACCTGGCCGCTTCCCTTCCCTGGGCACCCTGGCTTCGAAGACAGACGGCGCCTGCTGGCACCCCAGAGGCCCCCCGAAATGCGGGAACCCAGTGCCCTCAGCCCTGATGTGGAGGAGGCAGCGGCGCGTCTCAGCCCCGCCCACGTGACACATTCTTGCCCAGACATGCGGGAGCCCCCCATCCCCAGCTCAACCAGATGTGCAGGAGGCAGCGGCAATAGGACAGACCGGGGTGTCGATGCCCGGATGTGGCAGAAGGGAAGGGGGGCGCAGTGGTGTCCCCTCAGTGGGCGGCCTGGTGGCCCCGCCCTGACTGCCCGGCAGACGGAGGGGCGAAAGGGGTGCGGGGACCCAGATGGCGCTGCGAGGCTGCCCGCTGACCCCTGTCCCCCACCTCCGCAGCCATGTCCTACCCAGTGACCAGTCAGCCCCAGTGTGCCAGCAGCTGCTACCAGACCCAGCTCAGTGACTGGCACACCGGCCTCACGGACTGCTGCAACGACATGCCCGTCTGTGAGTGCCCGCCCTCCCCTCCGGGCAGCGGCGAGAGTGGGAACGGGGGGAAGGTCACCTCCTGCCCCCTCGGACGCCCTCCTAACCCCACTGAATTCCCACTCTAACCCTCACGCCTTCCTCGGGTCCCCCAAACACGTCCTAGGATCCTGACCTCACACCTTCCAGCTTCCCCTCGGACCCTCAACCTTTGACCCTCTCTCTGGCCCCCGCCCACTTCCCTCTGGGACGTTTACTTCGCTGTCCCCCAACACTCACTTCCCCCTGGGACCCTCAAGCCGGCTCCGGGAACCCTCAGCCTCGGCCCTTGCGACGCGGCGCGGGCGGGAGGCGCGCGGTGGGCCTTGCCCTGACGGCCCCGCGTCCGCCGCAGGTCTGTGCGGCACTTTCGCCCCGCTGTGCCTCGCCTGCCGCATCTCCGACGACTTCGGCGAGTGCTGCTGCACGCCCTACCTGCCCGGAGGCCTGCACTCCCTGCGCACCGGCATGCGCGAGCGCTACCGCATCCAGGTGCGCGCGGCGCCGCCAGCCCCCCGGGCGGGGGCTTGGGGACCGGACTCCGCTTCCTCGGGTCTCCTAACCGCTCTCTCCCACCCTCTAGGGCTCTATCGGGCACGACTGGGCGGCCCTCACCTTCTGTTTGCCCTGCGCCCTCTGTCAGATGGCGCGGGAACTGAAGATCCGAGAGTAACGAAGTGTCTCCCCCACCCTCCGCCTCTCCCGTCCATCCCGCCCGGGCCCCTCGGCCCCTTCCCGGGAGGGCCTGCCCCTCCGCCCTATCCCGCCGCCTGAAATACACCCACAATAAAAACCTGAAAACCAACCCCGCCTACGTCTTTTGTCCCAGAGAAGGAATCTGGGTGGAGAAGGAGGTTTGGTGGGGACAGAGAGAAGATGCCTAGGTGTGGAGGGAGGAGTCGCAGAGTCCGGTTGGAGCTTGGATCTGCGGATGACATCTGCAAGTCTCTTTGCTCTCTAAGCCAGGCGTCCCCACTAACAAAGTAAAGCCACTCACGGCTTAGCTGCCTGCCTGAAGCTCTGCCCAGATGCTGAAAATAAGCAAAATGAGAAAAGCCATCTTGGTAGAGTCCAGGCACTCAAGGTCAAAGAAAAATGTAGGAGCCCCCACTGCTTGTTCAATACCCATGGACTCGGCTACACACAACTCTAACTTTGTTTCTAAAGCGGACGACTAACAGGTTAAGGCTGTCTGGAGCAGGAGCGAATCTTCTAGGATCAGCCAGTTCAATCCACCCTCTTTATTACAATAGCAACTAGCAGATTAGAAAATGTTCCGGTTTCAAAATCGGACAGACCTGGGATCCGGTCTTGTCTGTTGCCACTTACTGTGTTATCTTAGTGAATTAATAAACCTTTCTGTCTCTTCCTCTGAGGATAATGCCTAATATGTCCTGCGACTACTGTGAGAGCAAGAGACGAAACAGATGGAAAGGCCAAAAATTGAACTTAATAAATTGTTAATATTATTATTCATATAATAACAACTATTTTAATATTAATATATTGCTTGTATTATTTGCTGTTCTTCTCTCTCTCTTTCTCTGTGGATCCAGCCATCGAGTGACTTCTTCATTTGGAATACCCCATGAGCATCTCAAATTTGACATGTCCAAAACCTAACCCCTGACTTCCCTCCAAATCTGCTCCTCCCACAGCCTCCCCACGTCAGGAACAGCCAGCCCCAGCTTTCAGCTGCTCAGTCGCCTCTCTCACCCAGCCTCCAATCTGCGAACAAACTGTCAGTTCCACTTGGAGTATATCCAGAATCTCGCTTCTCTCCGCTCCACGGGCCCCACCTCCTTCCAGCCACTCTCCCCTTTGGCCTGAACTAATGCAGTGGCTCCTCACGGGGCTCCCTGCCCCACCCCCACCCCTTCAGTCTCTTCTCCACAGAGGAGCCCTGTGACCATCTGAGTCGGATCACATCCCTCCTGTGCTCAGGACCTCCTCACAGCTCCTCACCCACAGAGTATAAACACCAGAGTCCTCACCTGGCCCAAGGACCTGCAGGATCTGCCTCTTGTTCCCTCAACGCCTGTCTCCTTCTGCCTTCTGCTCCAACCACATGAGCCTTTGCTGTTTCTCTAAAATGCTAGGCACGCTCCCACCTCAGGGCCTTTGCACTGGCTATTCCCACAACTTAGGATTCTCTTCCCTCGCGTCTCTATGGCTCACTCCTTCACTTCTGCTCACACGCCACCTTATGAGAGGCCTTCCCTTCCCAGTTTAAACAGCAAGTACCAGCCCCCCACCCCTTACCCCCTCGTTCGCTGCCTTGTTTTCCTGGTCATCTTCCAACCTACCCCATCATTTACTTATTGTTGGTCTCTCCACTGGCTCATCAGCTCTGGGAGGGCAAGGACCTTGTTCACTGCTGTGTCCCCAGCACCTAGCACAGCGTGAGACCCTCGGTAGGTAGAGATGATACGTGATCACAGGTGGGAATGGGAGACACAAGCTTAGAAAAGGGAAGCGATTTTAGGCGTAAAGAGGGCAGGTGGCGATGGAAACTCAGACAGGCTGGTGTCAGAATCTGGGTTCCCCTATTAATTAGCTCCGATTTCTTAGGCAAGGGACTCAGTTTCTGCATCCGCAAAATGGGGGAACGAGACTCTACCCCACAGCGGGGATATCGGAAGACCACGCGCGACTGATGCCAAGCACCGGGCATGGGGCCTGGAGGGCTGTGGGCCCTTGGAAACGCTTTCCACCTTTTCCCGAGTGTTGCCAATCCCTAGGGCATTGGTGGCCAGAATCCAGGCCTCTGTCACACTCTGTGAGCCTCTTGAGTTCGGGTGCGTGGATACCGGGGAGAGGTGACAGTTGAGGGGCTGACATGGAGGGAGGAGGGACACGTGCTGTGGGGCATTCGTACGCGAGCATCTGCATGGCGGCGACAGGATTTCAAGAAGGGGTGGCCCTGCATCCCAGAGAGAAGGCCGAACGCTCTGCTTAGGAAGGCAACGTCACGAGGTGACGGCCAGGAAGAGACCTGGCCCAAGGATCCGAGGGCCACCTGAGGGAGACTTGAAGAACCACCGTGGCGCCCTCCTGACCATGCAGGATGACCTCTCCCCCGAGGCAGCACGTCCCGCTGCTGGCTAGCTCTGCGGTTGGGAAATTCTGCCTTATCCCCCCAGCAGAAACTTGCCGTTGTGAACACCCTGCTCCTAGCATCCACGCTGCTGGGCCAGCTCTCAGCTAGGTCGACCTGTGCCTTCCTTCCTTGGGAGGCGGAAGAGCCTGGCGGTCAAGCACGTGGATTTGAGTCAGAAGGTCTGGGTTCAAAGGATGGTTATCACTCAACAGCTAAATAAAACCTGTGCATTTTCTTACCTGCAAAATGGGGATGACACAGTACCAACCTCATATGGTTACTGGAAAGACCAAATAAAACCACAGCAGTAACAAGCCAAGCAAACCGTCTAGCATCAGTAGTTAGTAAACACAAGTTCACAGTCGTGTCTTAGAGGTTGGGCACTACCATCAGCTCGTAAAGGCAACACTCACGTGTGCACAGAGAAATCTCTGAAAAGCACTTAAATTGCCCAGAAAATCTGAAAATACTGATATTCATGGACCACACTGGAGACCCACGTGCCTCTAAGTCCAACACATCACCGTGTCCTCTGCTAAACATCAGACGAAGCCGCCAGCTTGCACCTAGGGGCCAGTTTGCACAGAAAGGTACACGGTTTAGCACGCCCCGTGAGACTCCCACACTGAGCGAGGCCCAACCGAGGGGACAGAGATCTCCAGTACCCCGCACCCCTTGCCTCAGGATCTTGCTTGCCAGGGGACCGATGAATAAAGGCTCCCGCGATGCTTCAGCCTTGGGCCGTGAGAGCCCACTTGGGTTAGGGAAAGCTCGCTGTGCAGTCTCCATGCTGCCTGAACTCCTAAGTCAGAAGCCAGGATGAAACCCAGGCCTGGGACCAAGGCGGCCATTTCCCTCCTGAAACAAACTGGGATCCCCCCGCGACAGCGATCGGGGGAAAACGGCCTCACTGCTCTCGCGTCCCCTCGGTTTGTCCCTTCTAGGAATAAGAGCTTCTGTGGTGGCATCGTCCCCAGGAGAGGCAGCAGGGAGTCAGAGCCAGGCTGCGTGGCTTGGAGGGGACACCAAGATAAGGGCATTTATCCCATTTATCCAGCGCTTGGGTGTTGAATCAGAGCCAACACCCTGTCTCCTGCATGCACACATTCCTGAGACGCTGGTCTTCCCCACACTCTTTATTTGTTGATTCAGTTGCTCCCTACTCTCTCAGCTGGCCTGTGGAGACACACATGGATGGATCTTTTAGACTGAGGTGCCCAGGAGAGGAGAGACACAGAGCCCAGGTTCCCAAGGTCCAGAATAAGCAATTAGGGGATGGGAGTCTTGGGAAAGGAGAGTCTCAAGTTCAAGGTGGCTGGGACGATGGGGGGTGTCTTCAAGGGGTAGGGGAGCTCAGAAGTCCGTGGTGATGGCTGGGGTGGGGAGCAGCCCCTGGGGAGAGCCCAGAAGTCTTCAAGTCAGCATTGTCTGGGAAGAGAGCTGTACGTTGAGGTCTCAACCATTAATCTCCAATCTTGATATCTATCCCCATCCCTTTCTCCCTACACCCGGGGCGGCATCTCAGGCAGCAATTTGACTCCTAGCACACCCTCTGAGCTGGGTGACCCTGGTCCTAGGGTCAGGTAAAATGGCCTGAGCTTCGTCCTTCAGCCTACAGGTGGCAGCAGCAGCTTCCTGCTGTAGCTCAGGCCTCACTGTCCTGCCTCTTATCAGCTGCATCCCTCGCCAGTCCACTCGGTCCCCTGCACCAAATTCCTTCTGCTGAAATGCTCAGAATGGTTTGTTTTCCCTGGCTGGACCTGAAAGAAGAGATGTCTAAAGGGCATCGTAGGTCCAAAACTTCCCCATAAGCCCCCATCTGCCCATCTTACTAAATGACCCCACCATCCACCCACAATTCAGGCTACAATGTTGGGGTCATCCTGGATTCATCCCTCCCTCATCCCAACACCTACATCTCATTACATCCTTCTGCCCACATCCTGCATCTGTCCCTGACTCTCTCTCCCACAGCCACCTCCGTGAGCTGGCTCATCATCTCTCGTCCCTTGCTGCCTCTTTCACCCCCTCCAACCCATTCTCCACACTGCAGCCAAGTGACCCCTCAAATTGGTCTGCTGGATCCTGTCATTCCCCTTCACGAACCTGTCCGATGGCTTCCCGTTGCCCTGAAGACAACACCCCAAACCCTATCTGGGGCCCACAGGCCCTGGATGATCGACCTCTGCCTGTCCCAAGCCCTATCACCTCTTCACACTCAGCTGGCCGGCTTTGATCGTTCCTATAAAACAAGCTGGTTCCCACCTCAGGGCCTTTATTCCCTCGGTCTGGAACCCACTTCCCACAGCTCTTCCCACGGCCAGATCTTTCCACACCTTTGTTTAGCCTCTCGGATGCCCAGTTAGTTGACTTTACCCTGAGGTCCCTACAGCCACATCGGTCCCACGAGATCAGTGAACCTTCTGTCTCGGTTCCTGTTTGCCTAGTGCCTTCAACAGTGCCTGGCACATAGTAGGTATTCAATAAATAATTGTTGAATGCAGAACAAAGAAGGCCCTGTCTGGGGACCCCCAGGGGAAGCAACCAGAGGTCTCTGAGGACGGTGGTCCCCATTAAGGGCCCCAAGTTCAGAGTGGCCCTGTCAGAGGACGCGGCCGAGGGTCAGAGGGACATGCTGGTGAGGTTGTCCTGGCTCAGCAGTCCCTTCCGGCCTACGCCAGACCCGTGCCCACCGCCTCCAGCAC